CCTAGACCTACATACTACCACTATCAGAACCTTACTAAGGCCCCTAGACCTACATACTACCACTACTAAAACCTTACTAAGGCCCCTAGACCTACATACTACCACTACTAAAACCTTACTAAGGCCCCTAGACCTACATACTTACCCTATCAGAACCTTACTAAGGCCCTTTGACCTACATACTATCACTATCAGAACCTTACTAAGGCACCTAGACCTATATACTACCACTATCAGAACCTTACTAAGGCCCATAGACCTACATACCTCCACTACTGAAACCTTACTAAGGCCCCTTGATCTATATACTACCACTACCAGAACCTTACTAAGGCCTCTAGACCTACATACTACCACTACTTAAACCTTACTAAGGCCCCTAGACCTACATACTACCACTGCTAAAACCCTAGACCTACATACTTACTAAGGCCCCTTAGACCTACATACCCTATCAGAACCTTACTAAGGCCCCTAGACCTACATACTTACCCTATCAGAACCTTACTAAGGCCTTTAGACCTACATACTTACCCTATCAGATTCTTACTAAGGCCCCTAGACCTACATACTTACCCTATCAGAACCTTACTAAGGCCCCTAGACCTACATACTACCACTACCTGAACCTAACTAAGGCCTCTAGTCCTACATACTCACCATATCAGAACCTTACTAAGGCCCTTTGACCTACATACTATCACTATCAGAACCTTACTAAGGCCCCTAGACCTACATACTACCACTACCAGAACCTTACTAAGGCCCCTAGACCTACATACTACCACTATCAGAACCTTACTAAGGCCCCTAGACCTACATACTTACCCTACCAAAACCTTACTAAGGCCCCTAGACCGACATACTACCACTATCAGAACCGTACTAAGGCCTCTAGACCTACATACTACCACTACCAGAACCTTACTAAGGCCCCTAGACATACATACTTACCCTATCAGAACCTTACTAAGGCCCCTAGACCTACATACTTACCCTATCAGAACCTTACTAAGGCCTTTAGATCTACACACTAACCCTTTCTGAATCTTTCTAAGGCCCCTAGACCTACATACTTACCCTATCAGAACCTTACTAAGGCCTTTAGACCGACATACTTACCCTATCAGAACCTTACTAAGGCACCTAGAACTACATACTACCACTACCAGAACCTTACTAAGGCCCCTAGACCTACATACTACCACTACCAGAACCTTACTAAGGCCCCTAGACCTACATACTACCACTACCAGAACCTTACTAAGGCCCCTAGAACCTACATACTACCAGAACCTTACTAAGGCCCCTAGACCTACTACCACTATCGGAACCTTACTAAGAACCTTACTAAGGCCCCTAGATACTTACCACTACACTACTACCCATACTATCAGAACCTTACTAAGGCCCTTTGACCTACATACTATCACTATCAGAACCTTACTAAGGCACCTAGACCTATATACTCCCACTATCAGAACCTTACTAAGGCCCCTAGACCTACATACTACCAGAACCTTACTAAGGCCCCTAGACCTACATACTACCACTACTTAAACCTTACTAAGGCCCCTAGATCTACATACTACCACTAACAGAGCCTTACTAAGGCCCCTAGTCTTACATACTACCACTAACAGAGCCTTACTAAGGCCCCTAGTCTTACATACTTACCATATCATAACCTAACTAAGGCCCCTAGACCTACATACTTACCCTATCAGATTCTTACTAAGGCCCCTAGACCTACATACTTACCCTATCGGAACCTTACTAAGGCCCCTAGACCTACATACTACCACTACTTAAACCTTACTAAGGCCCCTAGATCTACATACTACCACTAACAGAGCCTTACTAAGGCCCCTAGACCTACATTCTCCATATTTTTTGATGTTGTGTTCATGGTCCAACATTATGTTCTGTATCGATACAAGGCAACATATGAACCCATTCAACAAAATGAAGAGGATAACATTGAAGAAAGCCTGAAAAAGGTTGTTTCGTAATTCATGTTCATGTACATTCCCGAGTGTAAATGTGTTGACATTTGTGAGGTTTGGGTAATCTACCTGGAACAAGTAACACAAACTTTGTGTTTATTTAGTTGATTATCCAATGGATCATCCAGTTGATTTTTGTTAATTTTGATTTTTGTTAATTTTGATTTTTGTTCATTTTTAAGTACTATGAAAATTGTTGTTATGCCAGAAGTACAGTGAGTTAACAGAGTAATTAACAAAGATAAAATGGTATATTTTGTGCCTCCACTTTTTTAATGTGACTTATAGGTGTCTATATCACTACATTTGATGGTGGTGTAGTGCCAAGACATTAAATTTACCTCTAAAAACCCTGGACTACATTGTGACCACCAAATTGTGATATGTTATATAATTATCTTAAAACGGATGTAGAAAGGGTCAGTGGTTACCTATCCAACCATGTGGGTTCCCGCCACCCACATGAGTGCTCCAGTATCTTCCCACAGTAAGAGACCCCCTTGCACGTATCCAGCCATACCAACAAGAGTAGTAAAAGCTGACAGCTTATTTTGCACTTTTAAATAAAAAAAAAAAAAAAATTATGCTTAATTCTTATACAGTAAGCTTTTTAATATAGTTTGAACAAAAAAACTGAGAAGAGGGTATAAAACCCTGTAGGATCTGTACAGGGTGTTGTGCCTGCTTCAGCCATTGAGATTGTAATTATGTGTTCTCAATTCACAAACACTTAATTTTGAATTAAAACCATACTTTTTAACATGTAATTAGTTACGGGTAATAAGAATGGACCTAGTGTTGATTGTTGCAGTATGTATATGTATTTATAGAGACTTCTGTGAAAATGGTTTCCCTTCTTGAACCGTGCTATTGTGATAAGATTCAGGAATTTGAAAAAATTTCTCATGACTATTCCAGAGGTGGGGACCAATTCAGTGACCCAGTATTGTTAGTGTAGGGCCTTATTCAGTAGTCCAGTATAGATAGTCTAGGGCCTGATTCGGTAGTCCAGTATAGATAGTCTAGGGCCTGATTCAGTAGTCCAGTATAGTTAGTGTAGGGATTGATTCAGTAGTCCAGTATTGTTAGTGTAGGGCCTGATTCAGTAGTCCAGTCTAGTTAGTGCAGGGCCCGATTCAGTAGTCCAGTATAGTTAGTGTAGGGCCCGATTCAGTAGTCCAGTATAGTTAGTGTAGGGCCCGATTCAGTAGTCCAGTATAGTTAGTGTAGGGCCTGATTCAGTAGTCCAGTATAGTTAGTGTAGGGCCTGATTAAGTAGTCCAGTATAGTTAGTGTAGGGCCTGATTCAGTAGTCCAGTATTGTTAGTGTAGGGACTGACTCAGTAGTCCAGGATTGTTAGTGTAGGGCCTGATTCAGTAGTCCAGTATAGTTAGTGTAGGGCCTGATTCAGTAGTCCAGTATAGTTAGTGTAGGGACTGATTCAGTAGTCCAGTATTGTTAGTGTAGGGCCCGATTCAGTAGTCCAGTATAGTTAGTGTAGGGACTGATTCAGTAGTCCAGTATAGTTAGTGTAGGGCCCGATTCAGTAGTCCAGTATAGTTAGTGTAGGGCCTGATTCAGTAGTCCAGGATTGTTAGTGTAGGGCCTGATTCAGTAGTCCAGTATTGTTAGTGTAGGGACTGATTCAGTAGTCCAGTATAGTTAGTGTAGGGCCTGATTCAGTAGTCCAGTATAGTTAGTGTAGGGAATGATTCAGTAGTCCAGGATTGTTAGTGTAGGGCCCGATTCAGTAGTCCAGTATAGTTAGTGTAGGGACTGATTCAGTAGTCCAGTGTTATAAGTGTAGGGACAGATAACTTTGTATTTAAGTGTAATTTATTAGAAGTTAACTGCCCTCCACTTTTCCAAGATGTACTAGTAGATTGTTTTCTGATGAAGGTGACATTGTAGTCATCGAAACATCACACACAAATTTTCTAATTGGTCAGGATAAGAAAATCTATATATATATACTTACCAACCCAAATAAGGTTGAAAGGTATGGTATCATATATTACTAACACTGAAGAAAAATACATTTGTTTTCAATGTTCAGTATTCATTATATTATTTTGGAGTAAAATTTTAACATTTCAGTTCTTTTACTTTTGTATAAAAACTCTTTCTCAATGTATAATATCAATATGATTTATTTTTTCCAAGATTTTAAACTTGGTCAGTGTTCATTTGACAGTTAAGATGCTTTTAATTATTGTTCCCAACAAAATCTTTTATTACCCTCTTTTCCTAATAATGTGTATATTTGTTCACATGTACTAAAGCTGAAAATGTTTAAGAACCATCAAACAAATTGTTCACTGCTTGATGGTTGTCATTGCAATATCTGTTTATACCAATAAACCAACGTTGGTTCTGTTTATTGCAACCCTAGTGCTTTGACCCATATCACCTGTGGTTCTCATTTATGAAATAATTGGACCATGCAAAGATATTTTTCCTTCACAAAGGCAAGGCCCGTATGAATATCCAACATCCATCAGGATTTATGTACCAAATGTTAAAATCTAACCAATTTAGAAGTACAAGGTTTATGACAACTTTTATGGCACTGCACAATCATTCCAAACTTTTATCGTCAACCTTCTGTGATAAATCTAAAATGATTCCCCACAGGTTTCCCATTAGTGGATGCTCACTTATCAATTATTCTAAGGTTAAATTTGGTACCCTTTTTGTAATTTTAACTTTCATGAATAGACAGACTCAATACTTTCTTAAAACTTTTGTTTTGGTTTTAAATGGGAAACAATATCCGATACAACACATAAGGACAAAAGGATAAATGGGAGTACAACATTATTTCAGCACAATTCTTAATGGATCCAGGCATTTGATGTTTGAATACTCGAGTCCTAATGGACAAGATGATTAAATACTTGAATCGTCTTGGACAGGACAAAGAGGACTGGAGTCCTCAAACAAGTCTTTTTCTTTTGTTCAGGAAATTGAACATAACTATACAAACAATGGTACTCTATAGTCAACAACTTTATTCTTTGTGTACATATATTGATTCTTATTTTTTCAATTAACCTTTTTATTTATTCAATGGTGTCACAAAAATAAATTTCTCTGATTTTCTTCAATCTGTAGATCCAACATTTGTGTTGATTTTCACATATGAACACATTTAGAAAATCTCAAAAACTGGTATGAAAGTAGCAAAGTCATCATCAAAGTTTCTAATAAATACAAATAAATAAAACGTTTGTATATGGAGGAAACCATAGAAAACACATCCTAATTTGACATAAAACACTAATTTGTACTTTAAACAACAGGTGTTGACTATATATATGAGAGTAATACAAAACCTACAATAAACAAACAGAAAATAGTTGTCTCTGAATATTTGTCATGTTTGTGTCAATTAACTGTATGGCACTGCCCATCATTCCAAGTCGTGGTTAATGTGAAGTTTACCAGGTCAACAAAATTCATGATACTGTACTCCAAAAGGAGAATAGGTACAAGTAAAATATTGTTTAATTACCTGGTAATTTTCTATAAAATGTTCAGAAGATTGATGACAAAAAGAGGTACAAGACTTTCTTGTAAAGCTGGAATTGCTTTGTAATTTAGACATCATTTCTATAAACAAGAGGCCCAGAGGGCCTGTATCGCTCACCTGGATCTTTATGACCAACAGTACTATATTACCATAGATTTCAACATCAGGAAATGGAGAATTCGGCTTATGAATAATAAAATATATCCATAATAAAGTGATACACTTGCCTATAACATCAAATTTGATGTTTTGTACATATTTTCGGCGTGTCCGGACATTATTTATCTTGACTATTATTTATAAACATGTACACGCTCAGTTGATTACGAAGAAAGCCGAGTCATTTACTTCTGCCTCAAAGAAAAAATAGATTAGGAGCTAAACAAACGCACATGTCTTATGTATGACACTTGCTTTAGCACCTTTCTGCTAATTCTCATAAGCAGAAAATGATTCCATAGTGTTATAATATATAATTTTTAACAATCAATCTTAGTAATTCATTTCGTTTTGGCTTTGTCGTGCGAGAATTATCTATGTCAATCGGGGCGCTAAACTCAATGTGCAGAAATGCACAGGAATTGATACTTTGTCTGTACACATTAATAAATATTGCACTGTTTATGATGAAGGCTATGTTTATCATCACGGTGGTTATTCTTACAGTAACACCAGTACCATCATATTTTTACACTTAGAACGAATACCCCCAATTGGGCCCCACCTTGCAAACACACATTGTCGATAGTAAATTCAAGCGAATAATCCAACTATTTTCATTCAACATTTATCAGATAACACTTTTAGTAGTGTTGTTCATAAAATATTCACGTGTCAAACATTCGATTATAATCAACGACAGGCGGATACGTTACAAATATAGGGCTCACACTAAGCTAACCAGTCAAGCAGCAGCTTCGCAAATTCTGAATCCCTATTCAGTCCAAGATCCTCCTTCATCTTTCCTCGTCGCTTTTTCGTATTTGCGACAAAATATTTCTTCTTTCTAGGCATATACGCATGTGCAGCATCAGGGTTACGAGTGGTAATGTATGAATTAGATCAGGACAGCAATGTTTACATTCTTTATTTTTTTAGATATCAATAAAAATGGTTGCAGTGACTTTTAATTTTAGTAATTAACAGAAAGTCTTAGTTTTTTAAAATACTATTGGAAAATAGAACGTTTTATTGTAGTGTTTTTTAAAATTATAGTCGCTTTAAAGCAATATGACTATTTTTTCACACACTATGTGGGCACCATTAAGGGAGCCTTTTGGCCAAATAATATGGTCCCAGGCCTTTAGGTTAATCAGAAGTTGTTCAAAGGTTTAACACATTTGACTTGAATCAGGGTCAAGGTCAATTTTTTTTTTCGCTAACTTTCTTTGGCTTCATCAAAGGAACCTTCCAGCCAAATATAATGATTCCAGGCCTTCCGGTATTTTTTTGAAGAAGTCGTTTAAAGGTTAAAACACATTTGACCTCTGTGACCTTGAATATGAGTCAAGGTTATTTTTTTTCGCAAACCCTTCGCCTTTCGGTTTTTCATAATAAGTTGTCTAATTGAAAAGTTGATAGACGCAGGATGGACGGAAGATGGACGGACGCTGCGCTATGGCATAAGCTCACTTGGCCCTTTGGGCCAGGTGAGCTAATAAATTATTACAAAAATTTTAAGGAGTCACTCCTGATACCAGATACTCTAAATATTACTAATACTACAGGCATGTTTTTAGTGTCAATGAATATGAAACCCTTTTGGTGTAAAATTATCATGTCAAATTAAAATTGATCAGCCAAGAATATTTCTTTAAAAGACCGTCCCTTTACCAATTCAATGCAAACTTCAATACTAGTGAAGTAGTGTTTGGAAGAACAAGTGTAAAATTAGTATCATACACAAAAAATCTGATGATTTATATCATGTAACATCCAAAATTGTACAAAAATCTTAAGATCCAACAGCATCCCAAACAAATTCTGGACAGAACTATGCATTTAGTTCATTTGCTAAAAAATACATTGCATTTATGCGCTCATCTGTAGTTATCAAACTATCCTTAACTGGCTTGATGCATAGAATATGAAACTGTATTGGTGTGGTTCACTAGTGGACTTTCGGATCTCTGAGGAAAAATACCAACCATTAGATATCATCCATTAAAAACAAGGTAGAAATATATTCAAACAAAATATCTTCTATCAGTAGCAACTGTAAGCAAATAAACATCTAAATGGCAAGCAAGTAAATAATTATTCTATCAGAAAAGAAAATAATGACATATGAAAAGAAAGTGCATCCTACTTTTGTTGACCTGAATAACAAATAAAAACCCAAGATAAAACCCTATCATGTTGTAATAACAATAAAATACACACAGGCCTTAACAAGTGAAATTGGAGACAAAAATATCATGGGGACAGGTCAGAGGCAAGTCTACAAGGAAACACTGGGAAATCATGTACAAATTATAAAAGTCATTTTAAAACTATTAAATTAAACATCGTTTTTACAAGTATGTACATCATTTCAAGCCATTTATACAGATTAATTTAGGAGGGAATAGACCATTGCAGATATTTACATGAATATGAATCAAAGATTAAATATAAAAAGAACTATGAAACATGTCCTGTAACATTCTCATTGTTATTTGTAATGGGGAAAATGACTGAATTCTGTTGACAAAACATTGCTTGTTTTTCTCATCAATAGCATCTCCTCTGAACACTCCAGGATTCTTTGATATTAGCATCCTTAAATATCACTTATAAATGACTATTCTACTTTTAACCGTTTCACATTCTGTGAATGGGAGTCCCCAGAACCTAATGAGTTAGAGACTGGCATGACTACAATGGTCTTAGCACCCTGTATTGGAGTTCCTGCTGCTGTTCGCACTGTAACAGTGGAAGGGTTTGTTCCTGGCGCTGCTGTTACTATAATGTTTCCATTTACACCTTGACCAGGGGTGTTTCCTGAATTGAGAACCATGAGTGTAGTTGTGTTGGCACTTGAGGAAGTTTCCAGTGTTGATTTGTTCATAAGGGCTGTAGCTGTATTAGAAACAGCCATATTAGTAGCTGGTGTCTTGATCACAGGAAGTGGCTTTTCAGATTCCAGGGAACTCAGCATAACAGCACTACTCAGGTCTATGAACTGAAATCAAGCAAATCACATTTGTATATGCTGTACACAATCAGCTTCAAAAATCTGTTGCACCAAGTCCTGGCAAATACAAATAATGAACAATTAATGCTCATAATCTTAAAAGGTAAAATAATGCTTACTCTGACACACCGTAAGGTTTTATTTTTTTCTCTCTCTGAGATTTTTTTTTTTGGTTTCATAAGAACTTTCAAACATGATTTAACTTGAGCCTGTGCCTCATGGATATCCCATGAAAATACCATGATGTACAGAACAAGAGGCCCATTTGATACCTGTGACCTTGAAAGTGAGTCAATGTCAAACATATTTACAAAGTTGGTAGCCCTTTATCCTAGCATGCTACTGGCCTAATATCATCACCTTGGCCTTTTGGTTATTGAGATGAAGTCATTCAAAGTCTTTTAACATATTCGATCCCTTTTGACCTGTCAAGCGGATCATGGTCATTCCTATTAAATAGGGGTCAATCAACTTTCTGAATTTAAGAAATAATTCTCAACTCTCAATGAAATCCATTCAAGCATTAAGAAAGAGTAGCATTTTGAAGCAAAATATTGACCAACTTTCCCATTTTCCCTAGGGGTCATATCAAATTTCCAAATTAAAGAAATGATTCCCCACTCTCAATGTTTCAGACCAAATTTGGTTCAAATTCATGCAAGCATTAAAAAGGAGTAGCCTTTTGAAGCAAAATATTGTCTTATTTTCCCTTACATTTACGCATGACAGACCAAGGCCTGCCTTATACCTGTCACTACTTCAGATCTTCCTGCCCTAATATAGGCCTGCCCAATACCTGTCAGATCTACTTCAGATCTTCCTGCCCTAACACAGGCCTACTCAATACCTGTCCATTCTACTTCAGCCCCCTAACACAGGCCTGCCCAATACCTGTCAGATCTACTTCAGATCTTCCTGCCCTAACAAAGGCCTGCCTAAAACATGTCAGATCTACACCAGATCTTCCTGCCCTAACACAGGCCTGCCCAATACCTGTCAGATCTACACCAGATCTTCCTGCCCTAACACAGGCCTACTCAATACCTGTCCATTCTACTTCAGATGTTCCTGCCCTAACACAGGCCTGCTCAATACCTGTCAGTTCTACTTCAGATCTTCCTGCCCTAACACAGGCCTACTCAATACCTGTCCATTCTACTTCAGATGTTCCTGCCCTAACACAGGCCTGCTCAATACCTGTCAGTTCTACTTCAGATCTTCCTGCCCTAACACAGGCCTGCCCAATACCTGTCAGTTCTACTTCAGATCTTCCTGCCCTAACACAGGCCTACTCAAAACCTGTCAGTTCTACTTCAGATCTTCCTGTGATAACAAAGCCCTGTCCAATACCTGTCTAACATATTTCAGATTTTCTTGCCCCAACATTGCCCTTCTATTTTTGACACTGTGTTAATATCAGATGTGTCTGTTCCAAGTAATACATCCTACCTGTCTTACTTCACCCATAACAGCTATGGGAGTTTCCCCTGTTGCTGCGGCCACCTTGTGTTCTACCAGATAAAACATGTACTCATCATATAGAAGTCGGATCAGATGGAAAGAACCAAAACTCGCTGCACTTCGTAGAGTCAAATCTCTTATCACCATTGAGCTGAAATAGCAAGTAATTGGAATCACAATTTAAACAATTTAATATAAACTAATTCTATTTTTCAGTATGAATGAACTTACAATATTATATCAAACAATGCAAATCAAACAATTTCTTTTTTTTTTTTCATCAGCTTACCAATATGACCTTCATGAGAATCAGGTCACCTGTCAGCAATTTCAAACTTAATGGATAGAATAGTAATGTGTAAAATACAATAATCAAAATGTTTCCTATCTGCTAGATATAACATGTTATGAATGATTTAAGACAAGCACTGACTAAGTCAGAAACCGTTCTCTATACCTAATTTGTAAAAATAATTTCCTCAACACAAAAATATTTAGTCTACCTACCTACATGCACTGAATATTTCAAGGAATGGAAAACATCAATGTAAACTATTTTTTCATGACAATTTTGATGAGTAACAAGTAGTAAGAAATATTTTCATCAGCATTAATCAGATATGTATTTCAGTACTTGTGGTGTGTGTTTACACGCATCTGGGTAAGAAACATGTTCATAAATAACTTAAATTACAAACCTATAGAATGACCATTTCAATAAAAACTGCCGTGCAGCCTTTGGAAAATTGTCGCTGCCTTCATGTGGTTTTAACACCTGGTTAACAACCTCCTCTAGCCACTGGGCCCAATCCTCTAGAGAATTCTGACACTCTAGAGTCTTCTTAAAGTCTTCCTGGAGTTGTTGTACCACACTATCATCACACTGACAAACCCATGAGGCCTGCTCCTGTAAACAAAGGTAGTCACTGATATATATATCATCAATGTTACCATATAAGCAGGGTGGTCACCAAATCTGCTAAACAATAAATTCTATTTGATATTTCTAAGAGGCAATGTGACCTAACATCTGTTTCATAATGTGTGTCATTTAGTCAGCATGGTGACATTTAAATGTTACTTCTCAATCACCTGCAAAGGAGCAGTACTTACTGGTTGGTACATAACATTACCTCTGAAAGAAGATACTTATTCATAGGCTAGAAAAAACATTTTACATTTTACTTTTCATTAAACGTCTGATATCACTTGATACATAATACCTGTACACCCAACTACTGACCTAAACCAAGAATAGAGCCCCCCTCCCACAACCATTGTATATCGAGTAGATCTTAAGATAAACATTACTGATTAATTACCTGTACATTGGCAAAGTCTACCCTGTTGAGATCTGTAAGCATCTGGTTGATTTGTGAGGTGTTTTGAAGCACTGCACGTGCTGCCTGAGCGAGATGATTTAGGGATGTATATCTCCGTAATGTCTGAGCAAATGCACTCACAGCACCAACCTGACAAAACAAAGCAGTTATAGCAGTTTTTGGTGTATGAACAACCTGACAAAACAAAGCAGTTATAGCAGTTTTTTGAGTATGAACAACCTGACAATTTTTATCATTCACCTAGTTTACAATAATGGTGTCAATAGTGCAAAACTTGCCTCAGTGTCACTATAGCACACACTGGTATTTGGGAATGGGTTTGCAAAGTGTAATATATTGCAATTTTCAAAGAAAACATTCCAATTATTTGAGAAATTTTGAACATAAATCAGTTGCAAGAATGAACAGATTGAAATAAATAAGAAACAAAACTGAGGATGCATTTTTTTTAATTGTTCAATAAGACTGGGGTTTAATGATGATGCCCTTCAATATTTGCAGACCTCCCTACCCATCCCAATAGATTATGCAAATCCAAAAAGTAACAGTGAACCACCATAGAAGTTCTGAAACCAAATATCAGTGACCTAGTACAATTAAAAAGGGATTTGCTAATCCCTTCCAACACTTGCATCTTAACCTTTATATTAGAAACCAACACTAATGAAGCTGATGTTGGGGTGACAACTCAAGCTCCCTTATTGTTATTGACAAAATTGTGCGGATTGTAACAGAGTCTGAATGCATTTAGAGGTCCAATCTACAGCCAAGATCCACTCCGAGAACAATGTGACATCCAGGTGGCACAGCGAATCATAAAAATACTTGGATTCTACATACATTTTGCAAATGCCAAAGAGCTACAACCTTCTGCCAGAAAATTAAAAAACTGCTTATTGTGAGCATAATTGAAAAAGACAATGATATGCACATTTTGATTTGTGGCTTTCAGGTTTTTTTCAGGGAGACTGAAAAGTCAACTTTTAAAGAAACTATAGTAAATTATACTTGGATACATATATACATATATTCCAGTAACTGTCTAACTGCACTTTGTTACCATTTTGAATTGTATCTAACAACATACTCGGAAATCTTATTCGTTCAAATCAAGAACTGAAGCTTTCATACAATGTACATTCCTTATGCTTAGGTTCATATTCAAACACAATGGCCATTAGTTACCACTTCAATTTACTTAGTTCACAAATTATCAATTTCCTGCACAATGCAGAGTTGGTTCTTAGAAAAGTATACATATATTTTGAAGAATTTTCATGTCTCTGTATCCATTAAAAGCTCTATTGTGTACAAAAAACAGTATTTGCTTTATTTCAAAACATCACCAACAGTTAGAAGGTTTTACAACATCGAATCATGTAATTAACGCAACAAAATTCACTGAAGATGTTTCTGATGATATAATAGAATAGATAATATGTCAAAAAAGAAGGATTGATTGAAAATCCAATAGAAACACAGACCTCTAGTTTTTTGGCATTTTTGGAAAACAGACCACGATGCCTTTTGACCTCAAAATGACAATTTTAACGGTTCTTGATTTTTCTGAAAATTTTCACCATAGGTAGACAGTATAATGACCCAAATATTTTGTATAAATTTTTGGGGTGTTAGAACCGGAAGTACATGCTCCACTTTTGCAAAAAGTTGTCATATCTTTAAAAAATGCGAAGAAAATTATGTTTTTCAAGTTCAAGGTTGCAAAACTTTTTTATCTTTCAGCATTTTGTTACATATTTGACATCACAATGTAAAGATAAACATGCTAATTACAATACAGTATCAATTGATGCAATATTTTATCTATTTAATAGATTTTTGGACCAAAAACTGACCCTTGGTGTACACCTGTAGTTCACTACATTAAATGAGTTAAGAGTACAGGCCTCTAGGGGATTTTGGATTTTTAAAACTCAATTCATGGTTTGTCTCTCAAGGTGCTACAAATAGCATCCAGATTGGTTTTAATTGGTTCCTGGGCAAAATTCTATTGTTCCTGTAAGAGGTCCTTTGGTTGAAATCCATTCAACCATAATAAGGAGTAGCAATTTGAAGCAAAATATTGTCTTATTTTCCCTTTTCGAGCCCTATCCCCAAGTCCCTTGAGGTCAAATTAAATTTCTGAATTTAAAAAATTATTGCCTAACCTAACCGATGAATCAGACCAAATCTTGTTCAATTCCACCCAAGCAGAAAGGAGGAGTAGAGTTTTAAATATAATTTAAGGCCCTGTCCATGGACCTCTTGGGGTCGAATCACAATTCTGAACCTAAGAAGTGATTACCATCAACCAATGATGCATCAGACCAAATTTGGCTGAAATCCATCCAGGTATGAAAGCGGAGTAGGGTTTAAAAGAAAAAGTTATGTACAACAGATGGCGCACAACCTGTGGCGACAGACTAAGCATGATGACCACTGTAAATTGGATCTTAAGCAACAGCATTAAAAAAACTGTCCACACTTGGCAAAGGAAGATACCATATTCCTACAGGTTATACTTTATACATATGAACAGTCCTCAGTTATGGAAGTAATTACTGGTCAATTCCTGTGGGTTATTTCAGAACACATTTTGCACATAGGCAGCCCTCAGGTCTGTGGGTTATATAAGAGCATATCTTATACAAAGGCAGCCCTCAGTCCTGGGTTATTCAGAGCATGTTTTGTATATATAGACAGCCACCAGTCCTGAAGGCAGTTCCAGAGCATATGATTATATTACTACTCAAGAGTTCAAGAGTATGTTTCTCACAAGCCCTCAGTCATGGAGTCAATTACTAGTCAGAAGTTTCAGGTCATTATTTAAATATAAAAAGCCCAATGCTTGTGGGTAATTCAAATTAAGCTGTCCAGACATTTGATATCTGTTTTTGCATTACAGATGGCATTACCATTTGAAGAGTAATTTTAGACCACATAATCACATAATGTAAAGTTAATTATATCCAAAAGTCTATGGGTGTACCATATCAGTGATAACAAACCTTGCACTTGAGCATGTCCTCTGGGACTCCAACCATAGCTCCTTTAAGCCAATTTTCTAAACTCTTTGCAAAATTTCTAATAGCCTGTGTAAGGGAACCTGGAAAATAAAACAGTCAATACAGATTTTATATCATTATGCTCCCTGAAGGGCGAGCATATAGTTGCCACTTTGTTTGTCCATCCAGAAGCCTGGAAATATATTTTAAACCACTAGACACAGGAATAGTGGGCTGAAAAATTCACTCATCTGGATTGGAAATTTACTCATCCAAATTCAGCCATGAAATGGCGACTTAATCAGCGAGGATGTGACATGTGACTTTTTTTTTATATTTATTTTAAGTTTTATTGAAAAAACTATGCAGTGATGGCTGCTTTGTGTCAGACTTTATGCGCCACTTAGACCTAGCCGAAGTGTTTGTTTACATCCGACTGACTAGGTGCTGCTAAATACAGACCGGTACATGTTGGCACTGCCTGAGAGCACCTGACATCAGTATGAACGCGGGAAAATGACTAAGGTATTCCAAATGCTATATTTGACGTCATGGGAGTTGCAGTGTAATCAAAAGTTAGAGTGCAGACTGTAATATTTTGTTTTCGAAGTAAACACGTTTCTTTGTTCTAATTTTTCTTTACATTTTTATTGAAATTTAAGTTGTAACATTAATATCATTGGAAAAAAGCACTCGTCCGACGGACGACTGACAAAGATAAATCTGGTTGCCCGAGACTATTTTCACACATCCAGGGCGACCAGACGAGTGCTTTTCCGGACCCCTGCCATCCATTCGATTGTTTGTCAGTCTGCAAGTCATAATATTTATTCGAGGAGCATTTATCGGTTCTACTAAATCTCTTGTTTACAATGTTATTAAATAGGCAAGAATGAAAATAACCATTAAACAACAAGTAAATTCAAAGTAAAAAAGAAATAAAAAATTGTGGCTCACTTGGTATAGGTCTAAGCACATCTGGAATAAGCACTTCAACTAAAGCTTGGTAGAATGCGTAGTCAGCCTTCCGTACATACTCCTGTACAGGCCCATATTTACTAACTGCATATAACTTTTCTTTTGGCAGACGTTTTTCATAATCATTGTCAGCTCTGTAAAAAATAAAAGGGAGACATGGGAATATCACTGTATTAAACTTATTTCTATTAATGATAACTACAACTCAAGTGCCTGAGAAACAGATACACTTACGTTAATTGGTCTGCTGGTTGATTCCGCCAGAAACCTTGCCACAGAGCTTCTATCAGGGAAAATTGTAAGTTAACTACCACATCAACTATAGCCTGGAAACAAAACAAAACAAAAAAACTTTTTAGATTATTTTCATGGTCTTATTTGGTTTTGATTGCTCTAAAATATACTTTGATAAAAAGAAAAAATTCCTTTAAATCTAATTTCTGTATGCTCTAACTATAACCATATTTTTCATTTCTTTATTTGTTGTATTAATGGTGTCTTTAATCTGTACTTTACTCAGCACAAATAATAACATCTTTATTGTAAATGTCTTGAATCCTACCTCTGCATGCTCTGTATACATTTTGTCAAAAGCATGTACATGGTCGACGGTGACACCCTCAGGTAATGGCGATGAAGTGTCTATGTCGCCAAAGTTTGGGAGTGCGCCAGAGGCATCTCCAAGAAACTGTTGATGTTGCTGCTGCTGGGCAGTGGCTGCATCTGGAGGAGCATGGTGCCCTCCCTCCACACCATCTTCCATCTTAAACCTGAAAATATATTTGAAAATTAATTTCACAATTGAGATGGTTATTGGAAGACTAAAATCTTAATAAACATCCAACAGACTGGGTGGAGTATTTCTGCTAAAATTTTCCCAATAACACCGTACAATTTTCCTATTTAGTATGTTTTTTATTATAGTGATTCAATAAAGAGAATTATAGTGTGTTTGTAGAGTTACTTTATTTTCTGTATCACTATGTGTAACTTGGCACTGGTAAAGCATGTGTGGTGTTTCCTGTGTAACTATTTAATAACCATGTGTATGAAAAAACTTGTTTTGAAGGACAAAAGCAGGCTGTTTCTCTATTCTAATTAGATGAAAGCCCTGCATTAAGCTAACTGTCATCAATTGTTTAGTTGATATTTAATGATAATCATGCTAATTATGATCCTTCTAACAAGTATTAAAAGCCTACACAACCAAGGCACAACGCGTACGACTCTCATCATAGATGTTGATTTCACAGTCCAATAGACAGAACTCAGATTTTGATCCTTTGAGTAAGGCCAGGTTTCAGAAGAAAATTTCAGTTCTTTAAGCATTTCTGACAAAAAATCTGATTGACAATTGGAAATGGGAGGCACCAGTATTGAGAAGATTTGACGATTGGAAACGAGAGGGACCAGTATTGAGAAGTAATAAATAAAGAGGACAACATTGATACATCATCATTTTCTTTAGTTTTAAGGAGTGATTGGCTTTGAGAAGGATCTGTTTAAGTTACATTGTACCTACTTTTTACCCTGATACATAGGTTGTTGTCTCATTGCCATGGTTTGATCGTCAGTGAACTGATTCAATGGAGAATTGGCTTTGATACGGATACCGTAGTAATGGTACTTTGAATTACCCCTGAAACAAAGATTTGTAATATATTCACTACCAAACATAACATGGAATTCATTCAAAATGCAAATACATATTGCAAACTTTTTAGTGTGTCAACATTTTCCAAATCTGTTCTAAAGAATTATTTAGATATCACAAAGATATATATACACCACACAATTGAAAGTACTTCGATGACCATTGGAAAAAATAAGAACCATACAGACCATAGAATACTAACCGAGTCCCTAATCGTCTTGTTCGTAGTCCTAAAAACACTGATCTGATGAGTTTTCCAAAGGAAGCCGGGTTCATAGGGTCAAGATTTTGCTCCTGACAATGCCTTAAATAATGGTTATATAATGTACTCCGTGGTAGAGAAACACCTTCTGCCGTCTCATAATTGTCAATCAGCCATTGAACCTACAAAGCAGAGGTACTACAGTCAATAGTTCATCATCTCTTATATTGCTACATGGTAAGTTGATATAATTTTTTGATATTGTCAATAAAGATTTGAAAAAAGAATCTTCCATGATTTCATCTTTAAAACATCTCTTTCAAACAGTTTTAGTGAAGTCCAAAAACCAAAGCTATATTTGTTGTCACCAAAGTTATTTTTTAAAGTTTAAATATTTCAATGCCAATTGCAAGTGAAGAGGTTCAAAGAGAAAAGATGCTACAATACAGTTAACTAGAAATTGTTAGGTGGTAAGTGATCAACTCTATTTATGAAGTATTATGTCCATAGTCCAATGACAGTATACTTGTCATCAGGATTTATTTTTTTTTACTCTTGAAATGTTCAGAAGTGTTACATGTGAAAGGTAAAAATGTTAGATTCTGTTGTAGAATCAATAAAAATATGATTCATGTAAGATTTATTAATCAGACACTCAAAAGTGAATACAGTGCTAGTATGATTACATATGAACCTCTTTAGTTGCAAATAATGGATTAAATGATACTGCAGCAAAATACCTATGAATTTTGATCAACATCTAGGAACCTTAATACACACTGACTTTTCTCCCTACTTCTCCGATTCATTTAGAAATAATCATTAAACGGATCAAAATTCAAGATATTTACTGCTTTTGTTACATGCAAAGAAAAACTACTTCGCTCAGAAGTAGTGAGGAGTAAACCACGTACAGCACTTACAGTAGCAGGTGATGCCCGGGTTGTGTGAGTCAAGGGCGTGCCCTCTCCATCCATGGTTCCCCCTTGTATGAGGTAGGTGCCACTCTGATGCTGCAGTATCTGCCCTTGAACAGTTTGTACAGTACCAACCTGGGCTAGTCCTGTCGCAGCCACCTGACACAACAGCGGGAACATGCATTCAAATCTAACACAGTTCTACTACTCTGACCCAGAGCTCATGCTGTCACAAATTGATAAAGCCACAATAAATAACACAAAAATCAAACAGTTTTTGAGAATTTTTAAAGCAAACAAAAACTCTGTATTGATAATTGCCATATTTGGCTCAACAATTTGAGAAAGTCAGAATGAGTGCTGAGAAAGCAAGAATGAGTAAGGACAAGAAATGTGATTCCTCTTGAAAAATTTAGGTATTGCTTTTGCCAGAATAGTTGGATTTGATATGAACACTAGGGTCAAAAAGGCAAACATGCAAACAGGACACCACACAAAAGCTTTCCCCTGTATAGACTATTACAGATTACTCATGCAAAAAAAAAAAAGAGGCCCATGGGCCTTAACGGTCATCTGACAAAAAGCAAGCCAAACCTAGAAAGTGGGTTGAGGTCATTCATTTGAACAAACTTGGTAGCCTCTCCTCCAAGCATCTTACAGGCCCAATATCAGCACTCATGGACTTTTGCTAGTTGAGAAGAAGTCGTTTGTATATTTTAACATATTTGACCCCTGTGACCTTGAAAGTGGGTTGAGGTCATTCATTTGAATAAACTTGGCAGCCTTTCCTCCCAGCATGCTACAGACCCAATATCGGCACTCATAGACTTTTGCTTATTGAGATGAAGTCCTTTGTATATTTTAACATATTTGACCCCTGTGACCTTGAAAGTGGGCCAAGGTCATTCCTTTGAACAAACTTTGTAGGGCTCCATGCCAGCATGCTATGGGCCAAGTATTAGCCCCCTAGGCCTTCTAGTATTTGAGAAGAAGTTATTTAAAGATTTTGACATATTTGACCCCTGCGACCTTGAAAGTTGTTCAAGGTCATTCATTTAAATAAACTTGGTAGCCTTTCCTCCCAGCATGCTACAGACCCAATATCGGCACTCATATACTTTTGCTTATTGAGATGAAGTCCTTTGTATATTTTAACATATTTGACCCCTGTGACCTTGAAAGTGGGCCAAGGTCATTCATTTGAACAAACTTTGTAGGGCTCCATGCCAGCATGCTATGGGCCAAGTATTAGCCCCCTAGGCCTTCTAGTATTTGAGAAGAAGTTATTTAAAGATTTTGACATATTTGACCCCTGTGACCTTGAAAGTTGTTCAAGGTCATTCATTTAAACAAACTTGATAGCCCTTCATCCCAGCATGCCACAGGCACAATATCAGCAATCTGAGCCTTTTGGTTATTGAGAAGAAGTTGTTTAAAGATTTTAACATATTTGACCCCTGTGACCTTTAAAGTGGGTCAAGGTCATTCATTTGAACAAACTTGGTAGTCCTTCATCCCAGCATGACACAGGCCCAATATCTACACTCTGAGCTTTTTGGTTAATGAGAAGAAGTTGTTTAAAGATTTTAACATATTTGACCCCTGTGACCTTTAAAGTGGGTCAAGGTCATTCCTTTGAACAAACTTGGTAGAGCTCCATGCCAGTATCCTCTGTGCCAAGTATTAGCCCCCTAGACCTTCTAGTATTTGAGAAGAAGTCGTTTGAATGAAAAGTTTACGGACGGCGCACAGCGCACGGCGGACGACGACGGACGAAGCATGATGACTATAGGTCATCGGACCCTTCGGGTCAGATGACCTAAAAATTATACATATATATATATATATATATATACAAAAATATTTGTGAAAATCTGGTAGGACCATTATCCTATATTTTAATGATTCGTCAGCTAAAGGGGCCGATATGGTGACCTACCTGTGCCCCACCTGACGTCTGATAGTATGTACCAGAGACAGGTGTATACATTGTCTGGCCGTAGTCTGTTTGGTATGTTGTTTGCCTGCAATAAGGACAGATGAACATACAGAATGAGAACTCTTAAATCAGCATTACTGCTGTCCTGGTTCAATCATTTTTTTTTCTACAGTTTCATCTAATTTTTTCAATATTTTTTTTAAACAAATTTTCCTAACCACTTTTTCCTCTGCTGCTCAAGATAGAACAGAGGGCTGTTTTTCATGAACTTTGAACTTCTAAAATAACATGGAATGCTTCAACACTCTCTCTTTTTAATAAAACTTTCTTTTGAAAAATAGAGCAAAAATGTCAGTCTGTATCATGTATCACTGACTCTTCCTCAGTAATCATCTTTATGTGTTGCATAAAATCAACATCAATCAAACACCAATTGTTCTAATTAAAATGATGATAACATAATATTCACGAACAACATAAAATGTCAACACATCATGAAAAAATAAAAGTACAAAACTGATTACTTGGACGATACATGTGGTATTGTTAATACAGGAAATAAAAAACTAAATGTTGGACAAAAGGAAAATTTGGTAAAGAATTTATATAACAAAAGAAGAAAAGAAAATCAACATTTTGTTTACCATTGTCTGTTAACCATTTGTACTCTGTAGAAAATTGAAATAGCACTTTATACTATAGAAGTTATCTCTTAAGGACAGGAGTAGTTTCTAATGCTTTTCATCTGCTATACAATATTATGTTGATGATGGTATCTATGCATTACTGATACTTAAAATGGCAGGAAGAGGGGCTGAAAGATATGTTGTATACTGACATAAATACAGCCATAATGAAAATATATAAAGAGAGATATTTGATATATACTTGACAACATAAAAATGTGAAACGTGCACATTCAAACGACTACACTATGCAAACACAAAAGCAAATACATGTATATCTTACCTGGGGTAGGTATATCATACAGTAAATGCATAAATACATGAACAGATATTCAAATTAGTGATGCAGAATACTTATACATGGAAATGATAAAAAAACACTACTCTAGAATGGATTGTCTATAAAGAAAAAATAACTAAATGATGAGTGCACTAATGATATAGTATGAACAGAGCTCTTTAAGGTCAAGGCAAATGTACATCTTTCTAGGCAGTAATTCATCCAGAGCAATTTTGAATGCTTTTTCTTCAAATTTAGATCTCATTTTCTTTTTTAAATATTCATCAAAACTTACAATGCATGTTTTCACTGTGGCCTTTATACCTACAATGAATTGGGAGTGTATGATCTAGGTAATGACAGCTACCAGATTTTGTATCATTAACAAGGATATCATGACCGGTTTACACAGTATTTTTTTTCAAACTCGCACAACTCTACAGCACACCAACTTTCAAGGTTAGACATGGATTTCATACACCTAATAATGACAGCTGAAATGAGGAAAAGGATACAAGCAACTTGTACATGAATGTTTTTTATCCCAGCTTCATAGCCAATTGGAAGTTTGGTGCAGTTTGAAACAAAGCAAGATCAATTTTCTTTCATAAAGAAAAAGGATACATGCAACCTGACAACACTTTTTGGGGAGTTTCTTCTGGTTTTTGTTTTATCAATAATACTAATGTTTTTCATATATGACAAGACAAAAAAGTAGGCCTCAGAAAACATGCAATTGCAGAAAATGTTGTATACATTAAAGAATTAGTGCATGGGAAAGCCACTTCACACAATGAGTTCAACCAGTGCGGACCACATCACTGCACGTCGTCAACACTTTACTATAATAGTCGTACATTTGCCCATTCGTAGATGCGTAGAGAGCAGGATCATTGCTGTCTACGTACTGAACATGTGTAGGATAAACCGTCTGTCCTCCTTGCTGAAGGGTCACTGTGTCTTGTCCATGGTTTTGTTCATTTAGCTGTTGATCTGGAACCGAGGCTTTGAAAAAATCACATGTATTATATACATAAACAAATTTGTCTGGTAGTACAATGCTTTGATGATTGTAATAGATATTTACATTTGGGATAAAATTGATAGAACATTCATTACAAAGATTTAGATAATTTGTTCAATAATTTCAAATGATATCTTGATGGTATCAAAACTGATTTTTTTCATTCTACATTTAAAAGCATTAAGACTGGAAACTTACTGGTGACAATAAACTGCTGTGTAGTATGTGCCTGGGAGGGTTGAATTATAGTTGTACTTTGCGACTTCTGGCTTTGGGAGTGTATAGTCTGACCACCAGATTGGGTCTTCTGCAAATCAAATTTACAATAATATAGTCAAACTGGGATGACAATTCCTTGTTTTAACATTTTCCTCTTGTCTCTGTAAAAACATCTTTGTCACATTAAGTAGTGATAGTATTTACTATTTCACAAATGTATGAAATAACAAACATTAGATAGGTACCAAAACAATCTTAGTGCCCACCATCAAATGATTGATTTTATAACATATGACTGATCTTTTCTTTTTTCCTTTCAATTATTTATTATAATGAAATATAATTGATTTATTGTAGTCTAATACTATCATTCAAACTGACTTGATGGATCAAACTACACACAAGATTTATAGAAGAGACATGCCTGCATAACAAGGAGAACATATACAGTCTGTATGTATGACATACAAATACATGCCTTTCAGATAAATGTTTTTTATCATCTTATAATTATTTATCATTTTATGAAAGAAAACCTTGTTTGATTAATGCGATATAATGAAACAGAACTACACCTACCTGTTGAACATTTAGCAGTGTAGTTGGATTCATGGCTTGAAGATCTGTAACATAAGTCTGGGTTGCCATTGTTCAGCTGCCCCAGGACTGAAACAGAAAACATAATTAGATTTAGTTAAGATGTTAAAATCTGTCATTTGCTGCAACACACTGCCTCACCATAATATGCAGGTCTGTATATACATGCAATCTAATTTCGGCCAGTTAAAAATACATACCGTATTTATTCCAATAAACGCCCTGGGGACGTGAAATTTTTCAGACAGGGGGCGATTAATAGAACACAAAATTTCATAATTTGTTGGTCGTGACATGCCATGGCTGCCACTTTAAAACATTGTTTAACAAACTAACGAATTACTCAGCAAAGAATGCATTTGAAAATTGCAGTAATTCCAACATTGTTGTAGCTTTAAACATTGTTGTCAATTGCATTCTGATAACCTGAATTCTTGTATGAAATGACACGCTGTCAATCGTGTCAGCTTTAGTCAAAAACGTACAATGTTCATCATCGCTTGTAGGCCTAGTTTGCATAACAAAATAAAATCAAAGTACTGAGAGGCTAAACGTTTTGAAAATGTTCACAAATAACCGCTAAGCTATATTACTTTCCCCATACTCCTACACTTTGGAATGCAAAAATTACTAAGAGGCTATTTTTCTTAATTTTAAGCGATTTTATATCTTCTTTAATTCTTATTTCAAATTTGACGACAATAATGTGAACAAATCAAAATAGGTAAAAACTAGAAAATGTCTGTAAGACATGAATGCCCCCGCTCCCCCATGTGAAATAATAGTGAAAGGTCCGAATGAAGTTGTTAGGTGGTATATACTGATTTGGGACGGGACGGGACGCGACGGGACGGGAGGACATGGGCAACGCTATATGCCCCCGGCCATAAATGGCGGGGGCATAAAAAATAACAAAATACACACAACCATATATTTATCGCCAACAAGCCAAATGATAAATAGCTCTATGATGAAGTTGACTAAATAGAACCTTTGAAATACCCAAGATGTTGCAATTACTATCCTATCAATATGAGAATTTAGACAAATCGGAAGGACTTTATACCTTCTTTATTTTGAATGTATTGAAAAGTAATAGTCCTTACTTATTATAATTATATTTGTAGTTGAGGAAAGTAAATAAGGTGTACACAGCATTTCAGATAGATTAAAGTGCAAGTAATTACATTAAATGTATTTACATGCCTATCTTCCTTGAAGTATCATGGTTAGACTTTTCTTCCAGTAATTATGTCTATAAAGATATAGTTCTTTGAGATTAAACCAGACTTCCATATATATACAAAATTTACAATATTTTCACTATAGCTACTACTATTTCTGATCTCCAATGCATTAGATAATGTCACCATGACACACTAAATGAATAAATATGTTATGGAAATATTTCGTTCTAGTTAATTGATAATGATAAACATGAATATTTTGGGGTTTTTTTATACACGCTTTGTTTGAAGGAATATTTTCATTTCAAGGAACTTTGATACACATTAACAAACCTTGAGAAATCAGCACAAACAACCTTCATCAAATAAAACTAAAAGACAAAAAATATAAGTTATAACAGAGTCAACATCATGATCAGTACAGTATTAAAAATATATTATTCATAAACCATGAGGACCAAATGTAACTTGCCTATGAAGCGCAAACTTTTTATCTCCAAAAACTTGAAAAAGTGTCATGGCGGTGGGTGTGAAAAACCTGAAAAAGTGTCATATCGGCGGGTGTGCCTGTGGGACGAACAGTCCAATTCGGTTATGTCTAATGAGGTAAAGTGATCTTATATATTAAGATGATCTTGCCACAACGACAAGGATTAAAACAAAATTGATGTTCTGTTTGTAAGTTTTGTTTGTTTATAAGTATTGTTAGTTAATAATTCAAACTAAGCCCCCAGACTAGCTTCTTATCAACTCGCACGTACGGTGTTCTGTACGCTTACGTCATGTCGAGAATACCGTAAAATATATTGTTAAAAATTTATCAATAGTTCAACCACACTGTGCTTCTTTTTTGAAATATATAGTAATCATATTGTTATTAAAAAATAAACTAATTTTGGATGCTTTTAAAATAGCGATTTGAAAGATCGCGGCATTATTTACGCAAAAATTGCCGCTAGAGGGCTCTAACTCTTTTCGATATTTCAGCCAACGAGAAGGCCAGGATCGGTAAATTTTGTCTGAAATGCCTACTGAGTACGTTTAGCCTAAAAACAGTGGCATATAAGCCAGTCTGTTTCTTAATAAATCCCACATACCTGATAACAATGTCTGGGACAAAACGAAATTACGACACTGCTTTTAAGCTAAAAGTAATCGCCTTCGCAGAGGAGAAGGGTGAACATGCCGCCGTGAAAGTGTTTCGTGTGGACAGAAAACGAGTGCGGGACTGGTGTCAAAACAAAGAAAAATTAAAAAATCTTTCTAAAACATCTAAACGCTGTGAAGGAGGTGGGAGGCATGTCAGATATGAAGATATTGACAAAAATCTGATGAGGTGGCTACAGGACAGACGGGAGGCCGGAATATGAGTGACTGGGAAAGCATTGCGGTTTGAGGCCATGCGTATGCATAAGGCAAATGGTAGTCAATCGTTCAAAGCCTCATATGGATGGTTTTCTAAATTCAAAAAGAGACATAACATTTCGTTCAGGCAATCTACGCATGTGGCACAACATGAAGTTTCATTAATTGATGATCGCATTGACAGTTTTTTTAATTTTGTGTTAAGAATGTGTCGGCTACGAGAATACCCCGATAGCCATATCGCTAACATGGACGAAACCCCAGTGTGGTTTGACATGCCAGGAAAATCGACATTGGCAATAAAGGGGGAAAAGGAGGTCAGAGTTTACAGTACTGGCTACGAAAAACAAAAAATAATGGTGACACTGGCAGCATATGCCGATGGGACTAAAATCCCACCCCCACCCCTCTTGTGCACATGCCAGGCATTCGTCCCCTTCCGAAAGATGACATATCAAGTGGTTTTGTGGTATACATGTGCGGGGCCGGACAAAAATCCTGGGCAAACGAGGAAAGTATAAAATTTTGGTTAAAAAAACTCTGGGGTGTGAATAATACAGCTAGGCGGTTATTAGTATGGGACGCTTTCCGTGGTCATCTTACTGAAGATGTAAAAAAACTGGTTCATCAAAAATATGATTCAGACATCTGTATTATACCCGAAGGATGTACATATAAGCTACAGCCAGCCGATGTGTCGTGGAATAAACCCTTCAAACAAAAACTTGGAGAGTTGTATGACGAATGGTGTTTCAGTGGCCCCATTGAGAAAACCAAAGCAGGGAATCGTAAAGCCCCATCTAAAGCTGCAATGTTGTCTTGGGTCAAGACAGCATGGGATAGCATTAGCCCGGACACAATCAGAAGATGGTTAAAAAAATGCGGCATCACAAATTCGCTGGACGGTAGCAAGGATCATATTTTCCAGCATGATTCGGACGATGAGGAATTCCAGGGGTTTGGTGAAAAGGATGTCCAAGCTGCAGATGATGTTTTGCAAAATCTAATGGGTGAAGCGAACGCGCCTTCTATTCCACAAATAGAACTGAGTGAAAGCGAGACTGGCGATAGTGAAAGTGAAGACAGTAGTTCCTACGGCAGTCCCGGCCGTTAGACCTGCAGTTTACTGAAATGAACCGTGGAATAAATTGATATTTCTTGTGCACATGTCATGACAGTGTAATTTTCTTGTGCCAAAATTCATTTGTTCATGTTCATGGATACCAGGAATTTAAAATTTATTAAAAGGTAAGCTTTGTAACCGGACTCCTGAGTTGTTGAAATTTACTGAGAAAACAGGTGGGGGGGGGGGGGGGGGGGGGGTTTTATTAGAGACAGGGCGTTTATTGGAATAAATACGGTATTATTTGATATTTTATAATTTGATCAATTTGAAGGAAATCCTGCATATTATGCAAAACAATACATTAACCATCTCTTCTTTACTTCTCAAAATTGGTATTTGCAGCACTAGAATTTGATGGTATTTGGTAGGTATCACATTTCACATCTCTAGAACAAGAGATAATATTGATATTATTTGTCTTGTTTAGATATGTAAATGAAGCCATGCTCTCTGACTTTAAAATTTTGTAGTGCTTGTCTAAAAGGCACATTTTCTCAATTTCTTCATCAACCTCACATTCCTTTAATACAAGCTCAGCATGGTTTGAGTTAAGAGTGCCCTGCATACTATTTGGTATCCTTCTGGACCTAGAAGATGAACTTTTCCTTATCTACACTGAATGGATGTTGGTTTTTGTTTTTAGTTATTACAAGATATTCCAAAAGAGCAAGTGCTGAAGAGAAAATAGTTATTTAAACAAATGCAGTGATTGTTTGGACTCAGATATATGAGTCCTGGCCCCACTTGTATAAAACATCTCAACCCAGATTTTCCTCAGCTAATATCTCCTTGAAAATATCTTGCATGAAAATTCCTCAAGGAATTTCAGGACATCCTAGCCGATGCCTTCCTCCTGTTCCTTGAGAAAATTTTATACAAGCTGTTTTTGAGGAGATATCAGCTGAGGAAAATCTCGACTTGAGGAAATCTCAAGTTGAGATGTTTTATACAAGTGGGGCCTGGTCTCATGATTTTTCACATGGGACTTTCTTCAAACTTTACCTCCTAGTAAAGGGGACTGCTTTTAAATGTCTGAAATTTTGGAAATGGTGTTCTGGGTTCATCTGTAAAAAAAAGGTCCTTAAAATATTTTTTACCAGACCATTTTGTCTGGCAGTCCAACATAGTTTGGCACACTCTGGCTATACTGTTGTCTATTATATATATAAACACAGCCCATTTTTTTCTCAATAGCCTATCTATAATTTGTCCTGGCAGCAACAATGTTTGAGATGTTTCATATAGCATGTTGTTATTTAATGGAATTTGTGGTAATAGATTTAACTTCATGTGAAAAGGTGACAAAAAATAACTTAAGTGACAATTATCTCAGATGTCAATATCAGGAAACTGACCATGAATCATGAAGATATATTATAATTTTCATGTGCATATTTTAGAGATGAATTATGAGGTACATGTGATGTAAGTATAAACAAACACGTGTAAGTTTCCTGTCTTTCTAATTCATTTTTGCGAGTAGGATCAATAACGGTTATTGTTAATCATTTTTCTTCATCAAACCTGATAATCGGTAATGACCATGTCTATTAGGACAAGTTGAAAGTGTGCTGACAATAAGTTAGCGAGGCCCAAGGGAGTAATTTTACAATCGGCTTGCAGGTCTTATTTCCCCTATCCCATGGGTCCAAATATCAGCCCCATTCCCAATCCAAATTTGGGTGTTTTTTCTAAATCTGAAAAAAAATATTCCCAATTCTGCGGTCGGCTTTTTAATTACAACAAGAATTTTCATACATGGGATAAAACCGTTGATTAGCAATTTAAATTTACAAACTAAAAGTTTGCAACTTCAAGCATCCGAGGAAAGTCGGATACAAACCCACACAAAATGCCGACATAAATCTAGTAACCTTGTCCAAAGAGTACCGGGTATGTTTACAAATAAACAGTGTAACACCTCGATCGCTATACAAATATATCGCTATACTGTGCAGGCAGAAGATTCCGCCCATTCTATTTACATTCTTTCAATCATTGCCTTCGATATGTTCAGCCAATCAGCGTTAAGTTAACAAACGGGCTGATGACCAATTTTGAATATGTAATTAGCTTCTGTTCTAAACATGTGTTCGACAGGTAAGTGAAAATAATTGTAATTTGTCATCAATTGTTTGCGATATTAGGACAGTCAAGGTTTGAACATTCGGAGGCGAGACAAAATTTACGATAAAGTGATTCAAAATCTACCGCATTTTTGTATTTGGTGCCGCGTAATAGCATTTCGGAAGTTTCAGATACTTTTTGATTTCTTCGATATCGTGTGCTTTCGCCCGGCGTCTCTGACAACAGAATGTCACATAACAGCAAATATTACTGTGCGAAAATTTGGAAAAAGGATGCTGAAAAATGCAAGTCAATTAGAACCATTTTTAGGACTGCCTCTCGGACACTAACCCCCAGAAGACCTGCATAGTTCGGTGGTAAATGTAAGCGACATCACACCAACTGACACCCCAATTTTCGTCTGTGATTCCAATCTCGATAATGATACTTCAGCTGTCCAGACTACCATAAGTAAGCCCCCTGGTATTCCTTCTATCCAGACTACCATAAGTGAGCCCCCTGGTACTCCAGTTAAGACTATCAGACTAATAGAACTTAATTAGATAGTTATGATATGTTGTATTGAATATTTTTGTGAATAAAACTAGTTTTAGTCTGTTGGACTATTTGACTTACTTTGATTGTTGTACTGAAGAATTCAAGGTTGTATCATGAATAAAACCCAGTTTAGACTGTTAAACTATTTGACTTGCCTTACATGAATTAAGTTATATTCTCAATGTAACTTGTACTGAAGATTTCCATGTTTCACTGACATTTATACACTGTATGGTCTGTCTGTATCTTTAATATAAAATATAACAAAATGCAATAGTTTAAATAAGATTCACTCAGTTTTTTTAGGGAATTCTAACATTTTGAATGCTGGCATATTTTCCCAAATTTCGTAAATTTTGTGACACAAAATTGCCATGTGGCGTTTTCCCAAAATAGAGGAAAAAAGGCCTGGCTTGATTTACAGTAAGGAACATAGCAGTACCTGGGGTATGACGCTCTTTCAAGGACAATCTAGGGCTTTGGTGCTTATAATATCAGCATATTGTCATATATTAGTCACATTATATTGTATGAAATGAGTAGAAACTTGTTTACTGTGTATAAACTGAACAAACAGTGAAATCATTCAGTAGAATTATGGGTACTTAAATAATGTTGATCCGCTAATCGTATCACTCATGTGTAAGTTATCACTGATCTGTTACCCCATTTCTTCACTACATGCACAAATTAATTTACTCTGCTTTTAATCTGACAATAAACTGTACTCAATTGTATATTTTCAGTTTTCAATTGCTGTATTCTGTATTTTCTCTTCATCAATGCCTTAGAATTTGAAAGTAGAATTAGAGCCATTACGTTACCAGCGTAAACAACCCTATATAAACCAGTTGCTTAACTGTAACAACTAAGTAATGTCATTACACTTGAACCTAAGTATAATTATCTCATTTTCTACACTTATTTGCTATATTTCATTAACCAATTTCTACAAGGGACTTTATCCAACTTGCAATTATCAATCAGATGAATATGTTTCATGATTCTAGACATAACACAGGAAAGATACACAACAATGTCTTAAGATGTCATGAAGACCTTATTGGAAGATATCATGAATATGAAATGAGTTATGTGTCTATGAAATGTCCTGTTTAGTAGTATGGAGAAACAGAATTCAACTTTGGCTTTAGACTGATATTTTTTTGACAATTGTACAGGTTGCAAAAATAACATCACATGATAGGAATATAACAGATATTTCTTTCAATGACACAAAGAAGATTAGATTAAATCTAAACTATTAAGCCTCTAACTAAAACAGTATTGATAACAATTGTTTCAATACTTCCTTTTCCATCTGCACTTACCTTTATGGCATAGCTGTTAACCTAACATCTCAATTACTATACTTGTTTAAAAGAAACATTTACACTATCTAGACATTTTAATGCTTGTATGTCATTACTTAACACACACCAAAGTAATCGCTCTTCAAATACTGAATCAGTGACAGAAGTGTAAGCAGACCTGAAAACAGCATGACACTGATGAAGGACAGTGACTTAAATAAAACATCACAAGCCTACAGCTTTATTAGAAACCAGTACTAAAATGATGAGACTGAAATAACTGTTTAGTTTATTGAGAAAACATGTGTCCCATTATATCTACACATCATTATTCAAACATAAATAGATCGAATTATGTGAAGAATTAACCAAAATCATGGCTAAATTTACTAAAAATATTAAAAAAAGTCAATTAATCTAAAGACCACTGGCCTACATCCAAAAGTCCCAGATTTTACTAATTCATATCTTTTCAAGGCTATCAATATTCTGTCAAGTGTAAATGCTTATTATATCTTTTAAAAAAAACATAGTTAAATTCAAGTAATAAAACTCCAATACCTAATAACCAACCTTAATTCCATGTTACTGTTATAGGTAGTTTTACTTTTTTGAAATAGTTTTTTTTTGTCCATCAAAAAATTGCAATCATATAAATCATTATTTCCAAAACTGCCCATATAAGACTGTAAAAGAAATATCTCCTTTCTGAACTGGGAAGCTAAAATATGTTCTGTTTTCCAATGTTGAGACAAAAACTTGCACATATTTGCAATTGTCTGACAGTTGAAAAAATTAACGAATAAATAAAAAAAAAAGAATTGAAAAAAAAATGTTATTCTAAACAGTACAGTATTGATAAACTTTTATGTAATGTATATGTTTGTGTTGCTATTTCACAACTTATCACTGGTTGCTATGGAAATAATTTACAAAAGTATCAATGTCCTTTCACGAACTCCATGTTACATATATTATTTGAACTATCAACACATAAAAATGTTACAAAGAGAAGTGCCAATAACTATAGTTAATATCAAAGTGAAATACATATGTTCAGACACGTTATTTAAATAAATCCTTGTCTCAGCATGGCCAAACAGTTGTTATTTACTCTTTTTAAATTGCTACATCAATCTATTTTCGACAAAATCAAACAAATGAAGCACCTATGATCGGTTATCAACCATACAAATGTCTGTTACTACGTTATCTTTCCCTTCTTCGGTGTTACTTAGCAACCTCTCGCTGTCCCATAGTAGCAACCACACATCCATGGCATTTCGACTGCCCTAAATAACGACCCGCATGGTACACCCCATGCATATTTATTATACAAAGCTTTCAATACTATCTCTGTCCACTTCAAAATCTAAACTATACATACTTTAATTCAATATCACTTTAGCAACCTCGTGATGGATGCGGATGAATTCAAAAAAGCCGCCTTTTGTCCAAAAAATTACAATAAATTTACTTGAAACACATCAACATTCGCCATTTTAGAAGCATATTTGACGATAAACAACAGACAACGTATTAGATTTAAAGGACATATCAAGCAAAATCTGGTTAATATCATTAGCCAGAAGGACCATCATCAACACATGAAGATGTGACTAAACTAACTGACCAAATGAAAAGAAAAATCACCTTAGGTTGTTGGCGGGTAACAGTCGTCACAGCTACGGTGTCTATGGCGTTTATTCCTACGGCAACTGTTGCCAGACTCTTCGCGTCAGCAATTGCTTTGATTCCTACGCACATTTTTTCCGGAACTATGTTTTCACTTAAGAAGTTAATCTGTTTTAATATAAACTTCACCACAAAATCATATTTATATATTATTCAATCGCTTCGCCGAATTATGTGAACGCGATATTATAATCAAATTAGATATATGTGTAATTTGAATGCACTATTTCTGTCCTCGTAGTTTCCGGTAAGGGGTAATGAGGTCTGTGCCTTCGATTATGAAGATGAAAGACAACATGGCGGATCCCGGTAGAATGTATATGGCGTCTTGACAACTGCGGCATGCGTTGATTTTCGTCGTTTAATAATCAACCAAGTGATATCTTTGATTAAACACATTGGGGAAAACATTTGTCAGTTATTGTTTTTATTTTTTAAAAATGATATGTGACATATCAAAGCCTGTAAACTTTCGAAGCGAAACAAGGAGAAATCATGGTCAATGAATGGGGCCCACGACAGGTTTTCAAACGGGGTCACATACCTTAGTGACTAGAAAACTTGTGTCCACACGTTTTGCATATCTATGCTTAAAACGACAAGAAAACACATGACACTACTTTGTCACAATGTTTCTAAACTGATGTGAGCTCACTTAAAATGTTTGCGTTTTACTTTAAGATATTGAGTGATGTTTGTTATTTATGTTTTCATATTAGAAATATACAATGTAAAGATTAGCATGCTTCTATTGAATCTTTATGAATAATCAAATATTTATTTTCTTCAATTTTAATTCGGAATTGGGTTTGTTTACATATCAAGTTTAAAGTTTTGGTTTATTATGAATCTTAAATTGTCTATATATTAGACCAAATTTAAATTTGAGTGGTATTTTTGTAAATTTATAAGCAATGTAAACTTCCTTAAATTTCATGGTTTCAAATTAATTTGTTGTGGGTAAACAAATGTCATTCAAGATTTTTAGGACTTGAATGGGCAAGGTAAATTGATAACCAATACCATCCTACTGTTGACCTTTATGGAACTGTAGTATCATTAATGTCACAAGTCACTGCTGTCCTTAATGGAATGGTATCATTGTCACAAGTCACTGCTGTCCTTAATGGAATGGTGTCATTGTCACAAGTCACTGCTGTCCTTCATGTAATGGTATCATTGTCACAAGTCACTGCTGTCCTTCATGGAATGGTATCATTGTCACAAGTCTCTGCTGTCCTTCATGGAATGGTATCATTGTCACAAGTCACTGCTGTCCTTCATGGAATGGTATCATTGTCACAAGTCACTGCTGTCCTTCATGGAATGGTATCATTGTCACAAGTCACTGCTGTCCTTCATGGAATGGTATCATTGTCACAAGTCACTGCTGTCCTTCATGGAATGGTATCATTGTCACAAGTCACTGCTGTCCTTCATGGAATGGTATCATTGTCACAAGTTACTGCTGTCCTTCATGGAATGGTATCATTGTCACAAGTCACTGCTGTCCTTCATGGAATGGTATCATTGTCACAAGTTACTGCTGACGTTCATGGAATGGTATGATTGTCACAAATCACTGCCGTCCTTCAATGAATGGTATCATTGTCAGAGGTCACTGTTGTCCTTCATTGAATGGTATAACAGTCACAAGTCACTGCTGGTCTTCATTGAATGGTATCACTGTCACAAGTCACTGCTGGCCTTCATTGAATTGCATCATTGATATAAGTCATTGCTGTCCTTGATGGAATTATTTCATTGTCACAAGTCATTGAATTTTATCATTTTCACAAGTCACTGCTGTCCTTCATTGAATGGTATCACTGTCATAAGTCACTGCTGGCCATCATTGAATTGTATCATTGTTATAAGTCATTGCTGTCCTTCATGGAATGGTTTCATTGTCACAAGTCACTTCTGACCTTCATGGAAGGGTATCACTGTCACAGGTCACTGATGGCCTTCATGAAGTGTATCATTGTAACAAGTCATTGAATTTTATCATTTTTACAAGTCACTGCTGTCCTTCATTGCATGGTATCACTGTTATAAGTCAGTGTTGTCCTTCATGGAATGGTATCATTGTCAGAGGTCACTGCTGTCCTTCATGGAATGTTATCATTGTCACAAGTCACGGCTGTCCTTCATGGAATAGTATCATTGTCACAAGTCACTGTTGTCATTCATGGAATGGTATCACTGTCAGAAGTCTCTGCTGTTCCTCATGGAATGGTATCAATGTCACAAGTCACTGCTGGTCTTCATGGAATGGTATCATTGTCACAAGTCACTGCAGTCCTTCATGGAATGGTATCATTGTCAGAGGTCACTGTTATCCTTCATGGAATGGTATCATTGTCAAAACTCACTGCTGGCCATCATTGAATTCCATCATTTTTATAAGTCACTGCTGGTCTTCGTTGAATGGTATCACTGTCACAAGTCACTGCTGGCCTTCATGGAATGGTATCATTGTCATAAATCAGTGCTTGCCTTCATGGAATGGTATTATTGTCACAAGTCACTGCTGTCCTTCATGGCATGGTATCATTGTCAAAAGTCACTGCTGGCAATCATGGAATGGCAGCATTGTCACAAGTCACTGCCGTCCTTCATTGAATGATATCATTGTCAAAAGTCACAGCTGTCCTTCATTAAATGGTATCATTGTCAAAAGTCACAGCTAGCCATCATTGAATTGCATCATTATTATAAGTTATTACTGTCCTTCATGGAATGTTATCATTGTCACAAGTCACGGCTGTCCTTTATTGAATGGTATCATTGTCACAAGTACTGCTGTCCTTCACGGAATGGTATCATTATCACAAATCACTGCTGTCCTTCATGAAATGGTATCATTGTCACAAGTAACTGCTGTCGTTCATGGAATAGTATCATTGTCACAAGTAACTGCTGTTCTTCATGGAATGGTATAATGATCAGAAGTCACAACTGTCGTTTATTGAATGGTATCACTGTCACAAGTCAATGCTGACTTTCATGGAATGGTATAGTTGTCAAAAGTCACTGCTGTCTCTCATGGAATGGTATCATTGTCACAAATCACTGCCGTCCTTCAATGAATGGTATCATTGTCAGAGGTCACTGTTGTCCTTCATTGAATGGTATCACCGTCAGAAGTTTCTGCTGTTCCTCATGGAATGGTATCAATGTCACAAATCACTGCTGTCCTTCATGGAATGGTATCATTGTCACAAGTCACTGCTGTTCTTCATATAATGGTATCATTGTCACAAGTCTCTGCTGTCCTCCATGGAATGGTATCATTGTCACAAGTCACTGCTGGTCTTCATTGAATGGTATCACTGTCACAGGTCACCGCTGTCCTTGATGGAATGGTATCATTGTCACAGGTCACTGCTGGCATTCATGGAATGGTATCATTGTCACAATTAACTGCTGTCCTTCATGGAATGGTATCATTGTCATAAGTCACTGTTGTCATTCATGGAATGGTATCACCGTCAGAAGTTTCTGCTGTTCCTCATGGAATGGTATCAATGTCACAAGTCATTGCTGGCAATCATGAAATGGCAGCATTGTCACAAGTCGCTGCCGTCCTTCATTAAATGATATCATTGTCAAAAGTCAAAGCTGTCCTTCATTAAATGGTATCATTGTCAAAAGTCACTGCTGGCCATCATTCAATTGCATCATTGTTATAAGTCTCTGCTGTTCCTCATGGAATGGTATCAATGTCACAAGTCACTGCAGTCCTTCATGGAATGGTATCATTGTCAAAACTCACTGCTGGCCATCATTGAATTCCATCATTGTCATAAATCAGTGCTTGCCTTCATGGAATCGTATTATTGTCACAAGTCACTGCTGTCCTTCATGGAATGGTATCATTGTCACAACTCACTGCCGTCTTTCATTGAATGATATCATTGTCACAAGTCACAACTGTCCTTCAGTGAATAGTATCATTGTTACAATTCACTGCTGTCCTTCATGGAATGGTATAGTTGTCACAAGTCACTGCTGTCCTTCAAAGAATATCATTTTCACAAGTCGCTGCTGGACTTCATGGAATGGTAACAATGTCAAAAGTCACTGCTAGCCTTCATGGAATGGTATCATAGTCACAAGTTAATGTTGGCATTTATGGAATGGTATAGTTTTTAAAAGTCACTGCTGTCCCTCATGGCATGGTATCATTGTCAAAAGTCACTGCTGGCCATCATTGAATTGCATCATTGATATAAGTCATTGCTGTCCTTGATGGAATTGTTTCATTGTCACAAGTCATTGAATTTGATCATTTTCACAAGTCACTGCTGTCCTTCATTGAATGGTATCATTGTCACAGGTCACTGTTGTCCTTCATTGAATGGTATCATTGTCACAAGTTACTGCTGTCCTTGATGAAATGGTATCATTTTCAAAAGTCACTGCAGTCCTTCATTGAATGGTATCATTGTCACAGGTGATTGCCGTCCTTCATTGAATGGTATCATTGTCATAAATCAGTGCTTGCCTTCATGGAATGGTATCACAGTCACAAGTTACAGCTGGTCTTCATGGAATGCTATCATTGATACAAGTCACTGCTCTCCTTCAAAGAATATCATTGTCACAAGTCACTGCTGCCCTTCATGGAATGGTATCATTGTCACAAGTCACTGCTGTCCTTCAGGGTATCATTGGCAGAGGTCACTGTTGTCCTTCATTGAATGGTATCACAGTCAACAGATGGTATCATTGTCACAAGTCACTGCTGGCCTTCATTGAATGGTATCATTGTCACAAGTCACTGCTGCCTTGCCTTCATGGAATGGTATCATTGTCATAAGTCACTGCTTCCTTCATTGAATGGTATCATTGTCACAGGTGATTGCTGTCCTTCATTGAATGGTATCATTGTCAAATGTCACAGCTGTCCTTCATGGAATGGTATCATTGTCAAAAGTCACAGCTGTCCTTCATGGAATAGTATCATTGTCAAAAGTCACAGCTGTCCTTCATGGAATGGTATCATTGTCACAAGTCACT